GCGATAGTAGCATGTTGGGCATCTCTATTGAGAGCCTCTAGCATGACGCTAACAGCATGGATGCCCATGGTTGAACCCATTTGTTCAACCGCATCCCATTCGACATCGCTCAAATGGGAGTAGCTGTCACGCGTAGCGTGAAAGCTTTGGTCATCTTCATCATCCAACATATTCATGTTGGATGTGAACGCGGTCCTTGGACGGACTACGAAGTGCTACCAGGTGTAACGGGGCACCCTGAAGCTTGTACTGGTGACAGTACAAGCTACTTATTCTGATGACAGAATAAGGGGGTTCCGCGTAATTTCACGTACACTCGTACGTGCAGAAGAAGACGGTAAGAAGAAGCGAGTACTTAGTTAGAGTAAAAAGTAGAACTGTATCTATAATAGTTAATGTCTGTTGATAAATTACTATTTATCTTCATCTAACTATGTCTAAATACAAATGTGTAAATCATTTATCTGCTCACCACTCATTGCGTGCGTCTGTCGTGGCGCGTCTTCGTTAATTGATGTAATGACCTATATCAACCAATTAGGAGCTACTCGTAAGTGCTGCAGAATATTAGTCCTTCTGACAATATTCTGAGAATATAACTCTTATAGTTATATTCTATTAACAATTTCTTATAAATTGTTATGTAACGATTCACCCTGTTACAAGAACACTTCGATGAAGTTCAGTTCGCGATGGAACTTAGGAAAAGAAATGTTATGATGGCTAACTGCAATAACAGTCTCTTATAAAAAGCCCTTTTTGCCTCTTTCAATCAGGTTGATTCTGGTTTGCACTGCGGGCGCAGCAACTGCCGGTGTAAGCGCACTTGTCGCGCCAATCTAAAACGAATATTTCGCGTCCACAAATTACGTTCTTGCAGAACATCCTTAATTCCCTTTGGTCGCCCAGTGAGAGGGTGCTCAGCAGGAAACATTATTGATTGGGCTATACCATCAGGAAGCAACCCATCCCTCTGTGCTGGTTGCTTTCTTCCATGTTTAAGATTCATGCGTAAGGCGACAAGAGCATCGGTCGCAAAGGCCCACATGTCTAGTCGCATTATCAAAGGCAAAAAGAGCCCGAGAAACCAACAAATTGCGCGTTGAAGATTGGAATGGCGACGTCCCGATCCTGCTAAAGGAAGTGCTCAGCAGTCCAACAACCATCATGATTTTTTCTGGAATTTATAATAATGCAAGCCTCCTTTGCAACGTTGGAGTGCGCAGCTTGCTTGTCTGCGCTCAACGCGAGGCGACCACCTACAACGCAAGTTGCGATGTCACTGTAAACAATCATGTACACGTGTGAGGCAATACTTCATAGCACACACCAACGTGAGTTAGAACGTCGCTAACATGTACTAACCTTTCTGCCCTATTTTTGAGAAGCGGCTATTCTCTTTCAGGAAGCCACATTTTTCTTGCCTTCGTGCACAGAGAACGTGCTTTTTTTCATCGTGCGTGACTAGGATTATGGCCACACCGCAACATCCATCTCAGGCCTTTCAAACTTAGGCGTAAATTATTTGAATTCTTCCATTCGCTGTAGAAAATTTATGCCGATATGCGACTACGTCTGCGCGTTCGTGCCCATCAACGTACATGCCCTTTCGTACTTTCGAGTATTGCAGACCAAGGGCTTTCAGCCAACGAGTGGCTGTATTGACACGAACGGAGGCAACGGGATCAATTTTCGGGAGGTTTTCTTCATTGATATGTTTGGCAAAAATCGATTAGTTCGACGTGGAATTTGTGAATGCGAAGATAATGTTGCACCTTATCATTGACATCTTATTCCTTAAGCAAGCTGATGATTTTGACATGTTTCTTATCTTGCTTTGATATTTTTTTTCGGTATCGAGGTATTCCCGTGCCCAAGCACGAAGCATCACGGCAGACCAGCGACCTTTGCCGTTTACCGTGGCAATTGTGCGCGACGCTACAATTTCCGGGTATAAAAAGGCAATTTGTACAATGAACGCGGGAAAGCAATATACTGTAGAGTAGACAGTGCTGTACTATACCTTGCATCCACTGAGTACAAGTCTGATGTATCCTTCAACTGAAGCAAGGTGCACGCACATACCTTTTTTTGTGGTTTCTTCGCCTTGCCAAGTCTATCGGTTGCCTAAGTGATCTTGGTGGTAGAGTAAAGTGGCTCTTAGTCGTCTGATGATCATTTACTGTCGTCGCCACCACTGGCAAATTGCGCCTGAGACTGTTCTGGGGTCTTCGCCGGCATAACAGAAACGCACGTTTTAAGTGTTCGCAGACCAATCGCCGCCTTCCTCTGTTCAGCACGCTTACGGTGTTGAATTCTCGAGGCATTGTCAATAAATCGCATAGATGGGTATTTGCGGGCAAACTAAACTATTTCTTCAAATTTGTCGAGGATACTCAGCGTTTCCTCCACCGTGATCTCCCCAAATTTAAGCTCAAGAACATCTTCCTCTTTACTTTCAATTCCCGCCTCTCGATTGTGATTATCTTTATGTCCATCTTCCACATCTTCATTCTAACTTTACACCTCTCGAGCGCCGTTTCCTTCGTGTCCGTCTTCCACTTTATCACTTTTAGCTGCGTCTTCTGCTTGCCTAGCTTCAGCCCTCTTCTCTTTTAAAACATACCTAGTAAGCTGCAAGTGCCGTTTCCGTTTGTTGGGGAGCGGAATTTTTGTGTATGTTGACTGATTTTGTACGTTGGCTGGTGGTGGAAACGTACAAAAGACGTGTTTGTTGTGTGCAGTGCAATGGGAGCGTTGTAAAAGGCGTTTTTGGTTGAAGGAAACGGCAACAAAAACATTTCTCAAATTTGGCCGCCGAGAAATTAAGTTACAGGTTATAGGTGCTGAGCACTGCATGACGGTGATGTGCGTGTATCCATAAGATTAACTTGCATGGACAGTGGTGTCTGAACTATTTGGATTGAATCGTTCAGTTAATGAAGTAATTTATGCATTAATATTAGCAGTACTTTTAACTCTTAATACCACTCTAAGTTGTTGAGCTTTCGTCATAGTCTCGGCCGCAGCAAAAAAGATCTCACCATCCACCCATTGAGCATCGAGACAAATACTGTGCAACGTCATGGCAGGCGCGGCTGATCGCATTCTCGGCCACGGAGTGCGAATCACGAAATGTTTATCTGAGGACCGAGCCCCTGGCCGCCTACATCGTCCTAGCTCAGAAATTTGGACCACCCACGTCACAATCGTAATCAGGCGTCAGGTACGTATATGACCCGAGACGCCCGGCTAGTAGTCTGTCCTCAATTAGGCTCCTAACATCCGTTGAACCAGTAGCCCACCTTTCTAATGTGGAACCCTTTATGGTGAGGAGTGACGCCCGTAAAGTAGGTAACTGGTACCCTCTTTATCAATCGACAACTCAGTCGACACTTTCTCATCCATGCACGGCATGAGACGCCGTCCCGACGATCCCAGAAACACTTCTTGACGAGTTGCTGCAACGTGGCCACCGCCTCTGTAACGGGGCACCCTGAAGCTTGTACTGGTGACAGTACAAGCTACTTATTCTGATGACAGAATAAGGCGGTGCCTCGTAACTTCACGTACACTCGTACGTGCAGAGGAAGACGGTAAGAAAAAGCGAGTACTTGGTTTAAGTAAAACGTAGAACTGTATCGATAATAGTTAATGTCTGTTAATAAATCGCTATTTATCCTCATCTAACTATGTCTAAATACAAATGTGTAAATCAGTTATCTGCTCACCACTCATTGCGTGCGTCTGTCGTGGCGCGTCTTCGTTGGTTGACATAATGGCCTATATCAACCAATTAGGAACTACTCGTAAGTGCTACAGAATATTTGTCCTTATGACAATATTCTGAGAATATAACTCTTATAGTTATATTCTATGAACAATTTCTTATAAATTGTTATGTATCAATTCACCCCGTTGCATCACCCCCCCCTCATCCATCAGTCACTTTAGTGACTGATTGACTAAACGGATACTCGTCCCAAATCATTTGGGACAGGGTTTGCACTTGTTGGTCCGCGTCCACTTTCCAACATCTCATCGCATGGTTAGCAAGCCCATGCGATGCGCGAGCAAGGCCGCCGAGAGCGCGTCCGCACGTCTCTGTGCGGACGCTGAAGCAGAAACAACAGCAACTGATGTCCCATCGGTTGCTGAAGCGACTCAGCCTGTGTCATCTGGTGATGCAGGCGCTGGTCATGAAGACACTCGTGTCTTCACAGAGTACGAGCTCGGTGTCTCGTACTCTCCTGATACGGAAGACGGATCCGTATCGACGGCGATCGAATCTAAGCCGCCTGCCAAGCGTGGCATGGACGATGCTTTGCGTCGCAGCATCTTTGGTTCATCTGATGAATCAGATGAACCATCGCCGAAGCGAAGGCGCTCGAGGTCGCGAGACTCGGGCGCTAATAGTGGTGTCGGTTCTCCTATGGACACCACTTCACAGCGAGGTGCCAGTACTTCTGTCGGCACGTCGCAGGAAGAGCGGGACCGCAATGTGTTGCGTCTCGCTCCTGATAAGAAGGCATGGATGCCTCCTAAATCAGTCATGGATCACTTGTCGGCGACGACGAGTGATCGTTATCGAACACGATTGTTCGATTCGTCAAGGATCCATCACCTTGACCCCAGCGCGAAAAAACTATCGCGCTGAACATGAATTCATCATCGATGCTTTCTTTAGACATCGATGGTACAGTGGGAATCACAAACGTGATGGTCCCTCACTACTTCAGGCGTAGAACGCCTACATCCATAACCTCGAGGATGTAGGTCGTGACGCTTGGAACGACAAACTTATCAAAGCTCGTGATAAGTTTGAAAAGCAAACCCCGACAGGTGCACGCTACAAGCTGCATTGTCTGTCTAGAGAGAAAGGATTACCCTGCCTCTCTTGGGGAGACTCGTGCCCATGTTGTGTGAACAACTCTGCACGAGCACCTAAGGAGGCTTACCTCCTTACCAGCCCGTGGTGGCGCGTACGTGTCTCTACTGAGATGTACGAAGGGATTGACAACCTGAAATCCCTTTACGACCGTGCCGGGAAGACTTTCTCCGGCGGTCCTTCTGCGGCACAGGATGTGCCGCGTCGTACTGCTCAACCAGACCCAGTACGTCGATCATCAGTTGGGAGCGGGGCTCCCAAGAATCCCAGGACGGGGGATAGCCGCGCCACCGGACGAGATAACTCGTCCGACGTCCGTTCACGTCGCGGTGGTTCAACAGCTGCTCAACCAGATAGCGCTGGCCACCGCGAGAGTCCTCTAATGGAGGTGGAGGAGGAGGAAAGACGCTCTCCACACGATCATGTGGATCGGTGTGTACCCGAGAGCTTCTTTGATCGCGTAACGCAAGGGTTACGCGACGATCTCGAACATGAGCGGAATAGGCGTCTCCAACTGGCGGACGCTGTCTCGAAGCATCGAGCTGAGTTTGCCTTTGCTCAGCTTTAGAACGAGAGAGCTCTGACATCTCTTCGTGACGAGCTAAGGGTAGCTCGTGGGATTGTTGATCGGTCTCGGGCTGAGATAACTGCTCTTCAGACCCTTGTTGATGCCCACCATCGGGAGCACAAGGCTCTCTGCGAGATGCTTGAGCGCAAGGGCGTTCTTCATAGGAAGATGAAGATGATACTGATGGTACGGCTTAAGCCGACCAACGTAAAACGTGGGATGCGTTCGCATCTTACGTGGTAACCCGATCGTGTATGCATTGCCTAGGCGGTGCAATACACGAAATGGGCCGATGTACTTGGGTAGTAGTTTACTACTACCCAAGTTAGTCACTACATGCTTTGGTAGATTAACCGTAGACAGTAGGACTAAGTCACCTTTATTAAATAAAAGAGTGTTTGCCCTTCCATTCTTGTCAGCGTTTTGCTTTTGCTTATCCACCGCTTCGGCGATGGAGTCTTGCACAAAACGGACTACCGTTTCACGAGCCAGTATGAACTCATCTGATGGCTCGTTGGCTTCAGTGTGCTGTGAGCGCACTGCAGCAACATCAACCTTTTCTTCAGTGAGGTCTTCCGCACTCTCACTGGGATCATCTTCTTCAGTGAGGGCTTCCGCAATCTCACTGGCATCATCTTCTTCGATATTGATGTTATCGATATCGGCATCAAACGCAATGACTTCTTCTTCAGAGCGTGATGAGCGTGAACCAAATCGGTTTTTGCTCGCGCGAGTCCCTCCCCCCCTTAAACCAGAGTTACACTCTAGTAAGGTGGGTACACGCGGATGGCGTAAGCCATTCACGTAAAACGGTGTATGTGTCGTGGACGCATGCACCGAGTTGTTGATGGCAAACTCTACCATTGGCAAAAACTCACTACAACTCTTAAAGGAGTGTACGTATCCTCGAAGTATCTCTTCAAGGACACGATTGGCACGTTCCGTCTGACCATCTGACTCTGGATGATCAGATGTAGACATCTTCAAGCGCGTTCCGAGTGATTTGAACACGGAACGCCAGAAATCAGCAGTGTATCGTGGATCTCTGTCCGATACGAGTTCACGGGGCAACCCATGAAGTCGGAAGATGCTGTCAATAAAGACACAAGCACAGCCACTTGCCGTGATTGTCTCTGGTACAGCCACAAGGTGTACCATTTTGCTGAATCTGTCAACAAATACGAGAATACCCGTATTCCCGCGTGCGTCTTTGGGTAACCCGAAGACGCAATCCATTGAGATGGATTCCCAGCACTCAGCCGGAACCGGTAGAGGCTGTAAAGGTGCACGCAGTGAGGGACTTGACTTCACTCGTTGACAGACTTCGCATGCGCGAACATACTTTCGCACAAACTGATACTGGCGGGGCCAGTAAAAGTCTCGACTTACCGTGAGATATGTTTTCTCTCGGCCACGATGTCCTCCTATAGGAGCATCGTGATACTCGAACATGATCCGCAAACGCAGATCAGTATCATCTGGAATGACAACACGTGGTGTGTCACCAGAAACGGCTGTATAATACAGTAAACCGTTACGAGCAGTGTATCGATCTGATGCAGATCGATACGCAGACGACAATCGTTTCAACGATTCTCGAGATGGTTGGGAGAGATGTGTCAACAACTTCACTATCTCACCATCTTGGGCGTATGCCCGCCTCACATCATCATACAACGTTGTAGATGGGACTGAGGACGTCATAACCGCAACAGTGACTGTCTCACTGTTGGGTTTCGCGACTGTTTCAAAGTCGGGACGACGTGAGAGTGCATCAGCGACGACATTAAGTCGTCCTGGTTTGTACTCGACCGTAAAGTTGTATTCTGCAAAGAATGACAACCACCGCGCCATTCGTTGTGAAAGGTGCGGGCTGTTCACTGCCGTGCGTAACGACGCATGGTCAGTGTAAACAATGAAGGGTCTATCTCCTAATAGATAGACTCTGAACTTCGCGAGTGCATACTTCATGGCAAGGAGTTCCTTGTCATGCAATGGATAGTTCCGCTCAGCTGGTTGCAGCTGACGCGACTGATAGCAGACGACGCGTTCAACGCCTTCAAGATCGTACTGCATTAATGCACAGCCGATTGCGAAATCGCTGGCATCACAGACCACATGAAATGGCCTGTCCTGATCGGCTATTGCTAGGACTGGGGATTGTATCAAGCTCTGCTTGATACCCTCAAAGGAGCGTTGACATTCAGCGTTCCATAACCACCTCTCGTTCTTTTTCAACAAACGAGAGAGGTGCACAGTCATCTCGGCGTAATTGCGTGAATACTTATGCAAATACGCCGCTAGCCCAAGGAATTTTCGAAGACCTTTGACATCGACCGGCACAGGCCAGTCGGTGATCGCCTTGATCTTTTCGGGATCAGGACGTACACCGTTCTTACCAACGATGCACCCAAGAAGTGGTATTTCGCTTGCTGCAAATATACACTTCTTGAGGTTAGCATACAATTAATGCCTTCGCATGATTGTAAGAACTTGTCGGACGTGGTACCTGTGAACCTCAACGTCCGACTTTCCATCCATAGCTCGACTATGGATGAATACGTCATCGAAATAACTCGGCGCGAATTCTCGTACTGGTCTCAACAGATGTGATACACATCTTTTGAACGTGACAGGGGCATTACTGAGCCCTTGTGGCATTACTAGCCATTCCCAGAGCATACCGCTAGGCGTGCTAACTGCGGTATAGGGTATATCCCGTTCTCGCATAAGGATTTGATAGAAGCCATCCATCAAATCCATGGACGAAAAGATGGTACTCTTTGACATACCATCAATGATTACGTCCTTCCTCGGTATCGGCGTCTGAGCCGGTACCGTTGCAGCATTCAATTTGTTAAATGCATGCACTATCCGCCACCCTCCTGTTGCTTTTCGCACACAGAAGGTCGGAGAGCTATGTGGGGAAGTTGATTCCCTCACATGGCCCGCAGCTAAACGATCGGCAAAGAACTTGTCGATCGCAAGTACTTGTTCACGAGGCAGTGGCCACTGCTTCATGACACAGTACTTCGAGCCTGGTTTAAGCTCGACCTCGTGTCGAATACCTTTATCCTTCGGTAATTCGCACGGAACATTTTCAGGGAATACATCCTTGAATTCAACCAAATCTTCATAGAGAGGATTTGTCTTGAGCGATTCCCATGATTGGGAGTCATATCGCTCAATTCGTGTCTTTTCATCCAGGGCACTCTCGTCCATAGATGAACTACTGAGAACTCTCTCGTTCTCAGTAAACACTATTGCTGACCTTATGTCGGTTACACACTCGTCGTCAGCGACAACTACGCAGATCTGCTTGACTTTGCCACTACGCAGATCACGCAAGAACCTTTTATGTTCGAGCGTTGGCAACTGAGTGATCTCCGAAGTCAACTTCGGAGGCGCAATCAGATCAAGTGTATAAGCGCCTACACTTGATCCGTTATTGACTATGACATTCAATGTCTCTGTCATTTCCTGGGGACTTATTCCCTCAGGCTTCGAAGGACTTATTCCTTCGGCTTCCCGGGGACTTATTCCCGCGGGTTTCGGGGAACTTATTTCCGCCGTATTTGTAATCTTGGGACTTATTCCCTTTACTTCCTCTAGCTGGGGTTGTGCAACCACAGCGAGATCCTCTACGAAAGACTCTCCAGTCGATCTAGGATTATCGTTTCGCTTAACCTGAGCGATCGATTGTTTCTCTTCTAGATGTTCCCCGCTAGGGATAAATCTTTGTCCCAGTCCACCCGACTTATTCGAGTGGTGGACCTTCGGCGCAGCCTGTGTTTCCTCACAGCCGCCGGAACTTTGATCCGAAGTGTAACCGTTTGGTACACTTAGGTTTCGTACAGTCGTACTAACGACCGTACCACAAGTGAGGTCATCGCACTCACTCGCAGTACATCCACACGCTTGTAGACGCTCCAGAACGTTCATCAGATGGCCATCTGATGAACAAGCGGCAGGCATCGTTACTGTCCGATGTCGCCAGTTTACCCGTGGTTCGTACCTTCTGAGCCACGGTATTCCAAGGATGACATCAAATTTGTCATCCAAATCCAACACGATAAAGTCATCGTCATATTGGGTATCTTCTAGCGTATAGTGAATCTTCACTATACGCTTCATGACGGTTACGGATGCGCCTGTCGCAAGACGTACCGTCATCCTCGTAGGAGGTGTGTCACATTCACTGAATTTAAAGTGACCATCTTCTAGCGATTGGCGTCGCACAAAATCGTTGGACGCCTTACAATCGACTAGAGCTCGAAGGGACAACTGATTTTTCACTTCGAGTTTCAAGTTAATGAGTAAGATCTCATTACCTATAGCAGCAACTCACAACGTTTGTGTGTTGGGAGCAACCTTCATCAAGAGGCCTACAAATTCTCTTGACGTTGCTGGACCAGTAGGGTGCTCCGCACCTACTGATCCTGTCCGTTTGTTGACGGTCCATCCCGTTGTTGCGTCTTTGCACCAACAGCGGACCCTCGTCCCTGCCCCTTTCTCATGGGTGGACGGTCACTACGCCCAGTGTTGCGAGACACTGGACGAGGGGCACTACACTCGTACGCGTAGTGTCCTGTCTTTTGACATCTGTTGCATCTCTGCAACTTCTTGTAGCCTGTAGAGCGAGCCTTCTCGCTCTCTACATAACAGAGTTTCATCGGCTCTGGACCTCCGTTGTCATATCGTCTCGGTGGACGATATGATGTCGAGCTGGCGCGAGCCTGTCTCAGACTGAAGTCTTCCTGTTCCGCAATGGAAATGGCTTGTTCTAGTGAATCCAGTTCAAGTCGGAATAGGTGAGTCTTGAAGGGACCATCCGCAAGACCCTGCATGAACACCGAAACCAACGTGTGTTCATCCACCGGATTGGAACTTATACAACTCGTAAGATGTCGTATATGTTGGGCGTAAGCGTGCACATCACGCTTACCCTGTTTGAGCTTCAAGAGTTCGGTTCGAGCCCTGAACTCAGCTCTAGGTGGTTCAAACGTTTGTCTGAGCCGCGACTTGAAGACTTCCAACGACCCAAACGCATATGGGTCGTGCAACTTGAGCCCCAGTGCCCAAGTCTTGGCACGTCCTGCCAGATTTGACTGGGCAAATGCAACTTGCATATCCCCGTCGTCGATGCGACGCGCCCTTATGGCGTCATCCAATTCGACGAACCATCTCAAGAGGGAGTCTTCTTCGACCCCCTATACTTTGAGATGTCAATCTTCAAAGTCTCGGGTCGACGCGAGTGCATCGACCCGCCAGCAGCAGCCTGCTGCTGTCTCAACAGTTCAAACTGTTAAGCACCCTGTTCTCTCAACAACTCTGCTTGTTGAGAACCTTGTTGGTGAAGCAAGGCTACTTTCTTGCGTTCATCGTCAAGTTCATTTTGAATGAACTTGGCGATAGTAGCATGTTGGGCATCTCTATTGAGAGCCTCTAGCATGACGCTAACAGCATGGATGCCCATGGTTGAACCCATCCGTTTAACCGCATCCCATTCAACATCGCTCAAATGGGAGTAGCCGTCACGCGTAGCGTGAAAGCTTTGGTCATCTTCATCATCCAACATATTCATGTTGGATGTGAACGCGGTCCTTGGACGGACTACGAAGTGCTACCAGGTGTAACGGGGCACCCTGAAGCTTGTACTGGTGACAGTACAAGCTACTTATTCTGATGACAGAATAAGGCGGTGCCTCGTAACTTCACGTACACTCGTACGTGCAGAGGAAGACGGTAAGAAGAAGCGAGTACTTGATTAAAGTAAAAAGTAGAACTGTATCTATAATAGTTAATGTCTGCAATAAATCACTATTTATCTTCATCTAACTATGTCTAAATACTAATGTGCATATCAACTATCTGCTCACCACTCATTGCGTGCGTCTGTCGTGGCGCGTCTTCGTTGGTTGATATAATGGCCTATATCAACCAATTAGGAACTACTCGTAAGTGCTACAGAACAATTGTCCTTATGACAATATCCTGAGAATATAACTCTTATAGTTATATTCTATTAACAATTTCTTATAAATTGTTATGTAACGATTCACCCCGTTACAGCCTCTTGATAAGTCCAACTGTGGGGTGCCACAAATAATATTTTTAGGCACGCCGACAGCTGATGCGATCAGGGCTCGCAAACGGGGCGTGTTGGTTTTTAAGCGAGCCAGGTCTAGTCAAGTAGTAAGATCGCGTATGAGTGAGAAGGTGAGGTATATTCAGTCACGCGAACGACCCGCTATATCCGGTCTGCTAGCAACCAGGTACCGCACGGACAACTTGGTGTATATCTTAAGTATTTGTTTGCCCTCAGAAACCTGCAGTACGCTGTGCTAGTTGTAGTCTTGATATGGTATTATTCTTAGCGGTCGCTTTGGGACTCCGTGGATGAAATGCTCATTGTGAGTATTCTTAAGAAAGTGGGCGTACGCCCGATTTAAAAAATTTTTCAACCTCCTTGAATCAGGAATTTTGCAACCTCCTTGAGTCGGGCGTTACTCACTTTCATAAGAATACTCGCAATGATCGTTCCATCTCCGAAGTCCCAAAGCGACCGCTAAGAATAATACCATATCAAGACTACAACTAGCACAGCGTACTGCAGCTTTCTGACGGCATACAAATACTTAAGATATAACCTATTTGTCTGCGCGGTACCTGGTTGCAAGCAGACCGGATATAGCGTGTCAACCAGAGCTGACCTCTTTTAGGCCAAATTACTGGTCGCGTCATCAGCTCTCGGTTGGTAGGTCAAGTTCCTCGGCTTGTGATTGCACGTCTAGGCGTACCTCTGGCACTCGCGTTGTAAGTCTCAGCTGGAAATAGAGGAAATCCCATTCGTCGTAGACTCTCAATACATATACCTTGAAGCGCCGAAGTGACAACAAATCGCCGCAGATCGTTCGTGGCTGATAAGTTCGCATGCCCTTTTCGAGATGAGTTTTTTGGAACAACGAGAGAAGCTTGCACGGCGTCTCAAGCCAAATTCAAATTACCGGGAAGTCCAAACAAAAAACCCAAATGTTGCTTCAGTCATGTCAATTGTGCAAAGACACTGCCACAATGACAATGAGTAATCTCAGTGCCACTGTGCCCCCGGGCATGTCCAAAACTGTGACTTGCTGGAGCTGTGAGTGATCGGTCACACACTGGAATAGGACATGGCACGTCCTGTCTATACCATTTCCATTGCGGAACGCTGTTGCTTTATGGGCGATACAGTGTCTGCATTACAGTAGGATAAGTCCCTCTTATCTGGCGGAGCTCTTTCCACTCGACCAAATTAGTACTAGCCGACACCACACGAAAGTCAGGGCGCTTTCCCGCTATTCACGATGTCTTAATCCTTGAAAGCGTAGTCTCCGCATTTTTACCTTTGTAAGAGCTTTTTGCTTAAATAGTGATTAAAAGCGTGTACAAAGCTCGTTTAATTCGCACGCCTGATGGCGCCAGCGCCGACAAGGACCCTGTGATACCGGCAGTGTTCACCTTCACACATTTTACTCAAAGCACCAAGCTAGGTCGGGCAGGCTGAGGTACCAGGTCGAAGTAAAATAGCGATGAACTTAGCAACATTATCCCTCAGCCCAGACGCATTGCCAAACATCTCAAAGATACGCAAGACAGCTCCCACTTCGGTTGGAGAGAGGATAAACAGCCGTGTCATCAGCATACCCGCAAACTTTGACCTGTAAAACCGCGAAACGAGTGTCCAGCATAATCCCGGTCACCTGGGTATCCATCTTTTAACGCGTGTAACGAAAATCTTACACGAGGATAAAAGCAAGGCTTCTAGAGGGCAACCTTTCCGGATGCCGCTGGAGTCCTGTAGCAAATGCGAGAGATGTCCATAGACATAGAAGCGACAGCGCGTACCGATGTGTAAGAGGATGACAACGCTAAAAATGCACCGAATATGCCGAGATACCGTAACGCGGTCAGGAAAAATTCCCGTTTAATCGAGTCATTTTCTTTAGCAAAGTTGAGGGAAAACGTCATGCCGCTTGCGCTCTACTGATCACCACGAGCCGCACTTTAGTCGCCCCAAACAAATTTATGACATTGTTCATACCCCTGACCGGGACAAAACCAGCCTGTAGGGGGTGAGCAAGTTTGGGGAGGTTTTGCCTCAGGCGGGTTGCGAAAACGCGAGTAACAATCTTGTACTCCGAGTCGAGCAGCGCGGTCAAGCGGTAGTTAAGGTACAGCATCACTGGCGATCTTCTTAATACACAAGATGTGAAAATCGTGAAAAGTCACGGGAAACGCCCCTCTCTTCATATGGCACAATTTCGCAAACAGTGGAACAAGACCTTCATTTTGGTCTCGGTACCATCCGTTCCTCAACTCTTCCGGCCCACACGCCTTACCTACGTGGCACTTTCTGATAGTTTTGCGCACCTCCGCACCCGTCACGTGGTTGCATAGCCTATCTAGTCCTTTCACGCCAGCGCGGAAGGAAAGCTCAGCGACGAATCAGTCGATCAGACTGATGCCCGCCACAGGTTGATGCGTAACACCTTGTCCATCTCACATGACGTCAGAAAACCTGCAAGACCGCATTGAATTATGGGAAGACGAACCGCCCAAGGAGAAACAGTATTGTCCAGAACTTTGTTGGAGACACGCCGAAAGAAAGCGCGGGTAGAGTGACCGGGGTAATGCGCATAGGACAGAAGGAGGGACCGTCGTTTTAGATCTTGCTACCTAACCCAGCAATACGAAATCATACATCGAATTGAGTTCACCGTCATGTAGCAAGCCATATCATTTGTGTCGGAACTGCCCGAACTGACGACGGGAGGAGCTACCGCAGCTTCGAGAAGCTGTTTTACAACCGATGCGGACTCGGACGATAGCCATTGTTGAACTGCGACGACGAAGCTCGTTCGACCGCCAGGTGGATTGTGCAAAGCTGGATCTTGGCTCCATCCCACCACATTACTACAGCACGCGCCTGGCACTCCACCCGAGTAATCCTCGACATAGCAGCGTTAAGCTGGGTATGCACAATCGCGAAGTAATTTGATGAGACTTAGGACGCTGCCTCAGTAGCGTACCGAGTAAAGGGTTTACACCCGTTGAGGACGTTCAAATTACAAAAAAGCACCCGGACAAGCGATGCGCACAGCAACATCGTCACGGTCCGAAAATGGATCATAAATTGATGTGGAGACCGCTCGAATAGAGTCAACGTGTTCACCACATAATTACCATTGATCATGCCGGCTGCAGGCATGCTGCCCCTCAAAAAGAGTGTAATGATACGTGTGATGTAGTTAATAATATACGACCACCTTTTTTGTCCCGAGAACGAAGCGCTTCGTCTTACAAGGCATTTACCAGCACGCAATCGGAGAGCAACGATTGTAAAGCCTTGGAATCATGGGCCTGCAGCACAGTCAGATAGGAGCGATCCATTAGAAGATCACTCGGGTGGGTAACAACCGGAAAAGTCGAAGTGCTGTCTACCTTTTATAAATAATTTCGATGATGCAAGGGTCCAGCAAAGAAGCTGGAAGATCGAACGTTTGAGTAACTGGGTAATTTTTTTTAAAGAAGTAGGGGATTAAATGCATCGGGATTGGTTAATTTACGAGCCTGCTGCCTCCCTTAGATGTGGTAGCCGCTTCTAAGGCTCCTGGACATGCCAAGTGATGCGCAAATTGCAAGACACCAACTGACTTGCATCCGGACGTCCCTTCTAGAAAGTAGATGTTTCTACATGTCACAACATGATGCCCTTTCTTTTTTCTTTAACGAAACGACGGGGCATCTATGCTTTGGCTGGTTGTCCTCCTCAAGCTACTCGGAGTCCAAACACAGACCCGTTGACCATATTTTTTATAAACATTTTCACGCTATGGGAATACATTATTTTCTAGGTGACTGCTATCGTCTTGTCCAAGTTGAATACGAAGTGCCACCATTCATTGGGTACGTTAATTGTCTCCACCTCTTCTTAAACGATATTAAGCGGCTTTTGATCCTGCGCGAAAGGGGGGCAAACGTTTAAATTCCGCATAAGTTACGGCATGCCAAGGCCGCTGTAGCAGTTTCTGTTTCCAAATACTGTGAATAGAATCAAAAATTGCAAATCCAGCATCATTTAAGTACTTCAGGTAAAGCAAATGGTTGACGATTCGTTTCTGCTAAACACACAATAAAAAATTACAAATATAGGATAAAGAGGTACTCCCGTTCCAATTGGACTTCAAAAAATTAGCTAAATGCGTCATTACATACTCCGCTGCTTCATTTATTATATCCGCAATGTACGATTCATGCTTGATCGATGTGGAATCTGAGCCCCTTGCATGAAGGTTCTTCGTTCAAAAATTTCGCCTATCACATTCTCGTCCGCTGTCTTACAGCGCGCCGCTGTCTTGGGGCGGCATATGCCACAGCTGCCGCAATCCTATGTCGCGCTGCACTCGTTTCCAAAAGACCGAGACCGACGTTTCCATGAAGTGCGCATGTGCCGCGTACGTCTTTTTTCCGGCTTTTTCGAGGCTAGAAGAGTGCGGTTTAATGAGTCGTACTCAAGACGACGTGTGTTGTACTTTTTATTTG